AGGGGTATGTTTGGGGCAAGAGGCACAGAGAGTGAGTTGGATGTTTCATGGGAGTAGCTTGTCCTGCATTCCATCTGTGAATAAGAGATATACCATGCCAGAATGAATGGAGAACTTGGCGTGCAAAGGAGAGCAGTGCATGACCAAATAAAAGAGGTGGCTAAGAAGACACAGCTGCTGGTTTGGGGCTTAGATAAATGTTCCCAAAGTGTCAGTTTCCAGTTAAGCCTGTCATAGAATAAACAGAAATTTTAGAGGAATGGCCTTGTTAGGCTTTGCAACTTCTGGACTATATCACCAGGATAGTTGGGATGGTTAACACCGAGTTCTATTTTGAGCCCTCTTGAGTGCAAATAAGAGTTCATGTACTTGGCACCCGCTGGGAATTTTCCACTCATCTCCCATTTAGAGAGGCACTAATCTAACCCTGGGCCCTCGGAGGAGGCCTTGCTCATATTTCAGTCAACCCACGGTGTCATCACCCAGACCAGGCATAGTTTGGGGAACGGAGGGGAATAGTGACTTGAGAGCCTTTCCGAGGGAGTCCTGGGTGTTCAACAGAACCTGAGGGCCTTGCAAGACCACACTGGATTCTGTTGAATCATGAAAATTGGAGGAATAACTTTTGAGGCAAGGAGCAGTGAATGGAAGATTCCCTTAAGTTCACTCTTGCCTAAGGAACGACGTTCTGCAGTCATCACTGTTGACTCATTTCATTGCAGGGCAGCACTACGTCATTCTGGTTTGGCTTGCAGGAAGCAAAAAGTAACTTACTTGATGCAGAGAATTCATAAATTAGAAGAGTTGATATCGTTTCAAAAACAAGCACTTGCGGAAGAAGGGCTGTCGCCAGACTGCACAGACTGGTCTTAGCGAGCCAGAGCTGAGCTGTGCCAGCATCTTCAGCAGCAACATATTCAGAGGTCATCAGACAGCATCCTTCTAGAGGCTGATGGGGAAAACCAAACAGCTACTCTCTCAGAAGCTGTAGCCCAACTAGGCTATACTGAAATGGGTCCAGACACTGGAAACAGGCTAACGTGCAACTCACGAATCAACACCCAGGACAAAGACAGGCAGTTCAGACTGTGGAGTGGGCTCTGAATGCAGCCAGGGTGTTGTTTCATTGGACAGAGTAGTCAGGAGTAGACCCTGCCTCTCTCCCAGTCAGACATGAAAGGCTTCTTGGTAGTAAGTGCTCAGATCCAAGCTGAGGCTCAGTGCAATTTGGATCTTGTTGCATCTCTCTAAGCATGACTAGGAGAGGAAATATGGATATGCTTGTGTTTGATGAAGAGTGTGGACAATGGGTGGAAAGTCCTACCTTTGCCATTTCCTGGTGGGTTGAGCAGAGGACAGCCACTTCACCATGGAGCCCCAGTTTCTTCCTCCATAAAGGGAAATAAGACCCAGGACCCTCTGGACAGTGTCTGGAGGAGTAAATGACAAAAAGGGCTTACCTCATATTGTGCCTGGACTACAGAGAGTGTTTGATGCTGGACAGCTTGAATCGCCTATAGTAATTGATAAATAATACTTAGCTAGAACTTCCCAGAGTTCAGTTCTTTTCCTTGACACTTTCGTCATCAGGTTTGTTGCTTATCTTTGGCAGCAACAAACCTTACCAACCCTTCCTTAGTAAGCCATGTGGTGACTATAGTTTGGAACTGGCTGCTTTAGAGACTGAACTTGCAAAAGGATGGGGATGAGGGTGGATGGGGTCATTTTCATTGAGTCTTTGTGATCTGTTTTAATAGCCTCTGCTTCCCCAAAGGGAAATGGCACAAGGTCTCTAATCTCACTTCTATTTCCTTTTCACTTCCTTGCCTATCTCTTTTCCTCTCTTCCCATCCCCTTCCTTTCTTTTCTTGATTTGTTGTTGTTGTTGCTGTTTGGTTTGGTTTGGTTTGGTTCTCACTTGGTTTCCATCAATCTTATTTGTGTTTCTGCTAAAGCAACAAATGGATGGGGAAGGCCTGGCCCCAGAACATCAGCATTAGCTTTTCACAAAAGTGATTCAAGTCTGAAGTTCTTCATCAGCAATCTCCCTCACAGTCAGCACCATTCCGCAGAGGCCTGTCCCTCTCATAGGGCCTTCTGGCCACTCCTTCCCCACATGCCTGATTCTTCTGTGACTAGGAGTGTGGACTGATTTGTTGTGATGTGGGAGATCCCTAGGGCATGACTCTGTTAATATGCAGCGGGGGCCGTGACAGGGAGGCGAGGGAAACATTGGCTCTGAGTTAGAAATTAGAATTCAGTTGTTGTTTTTGTTATGTTCTGATTGCTCACTGCCTGGCCCAGTCTAAGTCTTTGCAGCTCTCATTGCTCTGAGAATGAACACTGCATAATGCTATTTCTGTACTGATAAGCATAGTATTTCAATTTTCTGGATGTGTTTAGGAATTAGAGAATATGAGTATTCAAAATTTTTCTTGACAGTAAAGGCAAGTTAGTTTTCCCACTAGGTTAAGGTTATTTCAGGGTCAATACCGAAATTAGCACTCTCCAAAATACCAAATTTGCTTAACCTACAGGAACATGATTGTCATCTGGCCATATTATGCTGCTGTTAGAATGAGCATATAATCCCTGCAAACTGTCTAATTAGAATATGTTCCCTGTTCTGGCTTCTCCAGTCTCTGAACCGCATCAAAAATTAAGCAAAACCAGGGCAGACCAGGAAGATGCTTAGAAAAACAGAGCGTAAGCGAGTCACCGTGGCTCACACCTGTAATCCCAGTACCATGGCAGCCACAGATTGGGCATATTGCTTAAGCCTAGGAGTTTGAGACCAGCCTGAGCAACATGGTAAAACCTTGTCTCTACTAAAAATAAAAGTTAGCCAAGCATGGTGGCTACTTGGGAGGCTGAGGTATGAGGATACCTTGAGCTTGGGAGGTGGAGGTTGCAGTGAGCCATGATCAGGCCACTGCATTCCAGCCTAGTTGACAGAGTGAGATCTTGTCTCAAAAACAACAAAAACATAAACAAAAACAGAGCATAAGGCTGATACGCAAATTCTAAATGTATTTAGATAATTAATATGGAAAAGCACCATTTAGATAGTTGCAAATGAAATAAAAGGAAACAACAGAAATATAATAACAACTGATTCTTGTAAGAGCTTGCTAAGTGCTGGAAACTACCTACATCACATACATTAATTTATTTAATCCTCATGATAACCCCGCACAGTGGGTGTGGCGTTAGAGTAGGATTATTGAGATATAGGGTAGGATTATGCAAAAAAATACATGCTCTCAGGTATAATTGCTAGCTTTGAAATTTGCTATGGGCTGGGATGGAAGGAGAGAACTTCATTAATGAGATGGGAGGTGTCCATTTTATTCTTGACAGTCTTAGTCTCTTTGGGATGCAGTAACAAAATATAAACTGGTTGGTTTATAAACAACAGAAATTTATTTCTCATGATTCTGGAGGCTGGCAAGCCTAACATCTAGGCTCCAGCAGATTCAATGTCTGGTGTGGGACACTTTCCTGTAAACAGTGCCTTCTGGCTGTATCCTCACGTAGAGGAAGAGGCAAGGCAGCTCCCCTGGGATCCCTCTAATTTTATTCATGAGGGCTCCACCCTCAAGACCTGATTACTTCCCAGAAGCTCCACCTTCTAATATCATCAGCTTGGAGGTGAAGATTTCAACATGTGAATTTTAGGGGCACTTAGGGGGATACATACCTCCAGACTATAGCATGGTCCATTATCCCCCTCAGAGAGCAGATCTAGTAGTACATTTTCTTAAGGAAACCATTAGCTCATAATTTTTCACTCCCGTGATGAAAATAGCTCTCAGCATATTATGAAAACAGAGTTTTATTTTTGGCGTGATGAATATCATGAAATGGCTTAGCAAATGCCCTTTGGATAACCCGAGACCCTCCCACCGACCCAAAACAACGCACTTGTTACCCACGTCTAAAAACAGCACACCAGAAACAATATTGTAAGAACGGTCTGGTCACATTCAGCACACGTCCTTCAGAGGTGCTGAAACCAAAGGCAAGAGTGGTTAGGGGAGAAAGAACATTCTCAAGGCCCCGATGATATTCATGCTAGGTATTTGGTCCACATTTTAGTCAAAATGCCCTCTCTGGAAATCAGTTCGCTTTGAGAGTTCATTCTGCAGAATGGCAGAGACTTTCTTTGAAGGCCTGTATTTTTGGTATCTCTAACTTGAAGAGAATTTATGTAGCACATCTTTTCTGGTTATTATTAGTAATAAAATCATAATACGCTGTGTTTGGTGACTCAATAAGGCAGATTACAAATTCAGCATATCTTCCACTACTTCCCTACTTTATATCAGAGAATGTATTTGATTTGAAACGACTTAGCAGTCATTTAGTTATACATGGCATCTTTTGCACTAAATGGTATTTCAAGTGTGAGATTTTCTCTTTTTCATCTATTGATGCTGACAGTGGAACAAAATACTTGGAAACCTTAAATATTGTTGTTGGTCATATTACAAAGAGGAAGGTTTCATGCTAAGCCTTCTGCCCTGATCTGTATTATTGATTAGGTAGCTAATCATGTATGGACAAAAGGGTAAGTTTAAAAAACAGTTGGTAAAACAAGCATTTGGCCCTCAGTGAAATATGGGACAGACTTTTTTAATGTTCAAAAATCTCATTGTAATGATAATAGTAAACATTATATAATAATATATGGCAGTAGATTAACACATGGGACATAAATATGCAAAGAATTATTGCAGGATGATATACAAGATTGTAATTTAGACGAAAGCACAACCACAGGTATTATTAATATTGTGATGCAAGCTTTGTCATTTGAATGGGATACAAATGAATGAGTCAGACTTTGTCAGTTTTTATATGCTTAGATAACGTGAAAATTAACTCCTTAAGGGCTGGACTTATAAATAATTGCTTAATATGATTCATTAATTAAACATGTGAAAGTGCTTATCTAGCATAAAACTAGGGGACTCCCGGTATCCGTTTTGTTTTTTCAGAATGAAAGTGCCCTTGTGAAAGAAAAAGAGCTGTCAATCGAACTTGCGAACATCAGGGATGAAGTTGGTAAGTAGGGCATTGAACATGAAGAGCGTAAAGAATGTCTTTTCCTGATTCCTGTGAATGCGTAACAAAAGCAGTTACGCCTCCTGTAATAAGCCAGTGCATACCTGCCTAGATGAATGAAGTGTTTCACCCAGCACAGTGGTGGGCTGCTGTAGCCTTAGCGGGGAACCATAATTTTCACGTCTCTGTTGTTATAAAGACAGCTTCCTAACAGTTCACAGTGGAACTCATCAGGCCTTGACTCTGCTATTTGCAGACAGCAGCACATACATCAGTCTGCATTGATCCATCTGGGTCCCCTCTGATAAAAATGAGGTGCTGTCTGCAAGGTGCAGATGTTCCATGGCTTCCTGCCACTGTCTACCCTGTCGTGAAATACTCCATGATCTAGAACAAGGTCAAAAACACAAATCTGGTTGGATTAAAAATATGAGCGTTCATGTTGAAATTTCTAATCTTTGGATGATGAGACGGTTTGGTTCAGTCTAAACCACAGAGACCTTACAAATAAAATGATCCCCAAACCCTGGGGATGTGGCTTTCACCGTAGGTCAAGGACAGGACCAGGTATTTGCCATGTTCTCATTGCTTGATCCCATTTTCCCTCTTGACCATCTGTTACTCTCTTTCCCCAGGAATCAGTCATCAAAGCTGAAATACACATGGCCTGTTCCCATTGTCCGCTATTCCTCTCCTTACCAGTGAGCACTTCTCCTCCTTCACCTAGTGTGGTCCTGGGAACAGCCCACCGTGTGCAGGTGTGGCTTCCTCCATGAGCGAAGGGACAGGGGGGAATCCCAGGTGTCCTTGGCAGCCATGCAGATAGGCAGCAGACTGGACTTCCCCAGGGACCGCAGGCCCACAGGTGTGCACTCGACAGAATAGTGAGATCCAAACTTAGCTTTCTCCAGTCCTTTTTTATTCCCCTTTCTTTTTAAAAATGAACCTTTTTTCTCATCTGTGAGTTATGTGACTTCTTTGATGTTAAATCAGGACTGCAATGGTCTCTTTTCCTCTCTAAGGACAGCAGGTGCTTGTGGGAAAGCAGCAAATAACAGGCCCCTTCCCAGCCTTGCTTGTGTGTGATCTGGAGCAGCAGACCAGGGACAGTTTTCATTCTTTTCTAAGGAGTGACTCACCACCCTTCACCTATGGAGCCACAGGTCCCATGTGATTGGCTGCCCTCCCATGCATGCACGCGCACACACGCGCACACACACGCGCGCGCGCACACACACACACACACACACACACAGTGGGCTGTTCTTCTCAGTGACTCCTATGGTCTCTTTAAAAGGTCCTTCCTCCTCCTTCTCCATTGATGGAAACCACCGTATCAAAAAGGATGATGAAATGCAAAGACCCACCCTCTGCACCCATTCACTTTAGGGCCTGCCCTCAGTTGGAGGTCACTCTGAGGCCTCTTCTCAGCAAAGCTGCCAAAGAACAGGTTTCACCTCTGCTGACCTTCAGGTCAGTTTCCAGGGGATGTGGAGGTGGAGACAGCTGGGAGACGCTGCGTCGCCTCCTTCTGGAATCCACCCTGCCACCTCGTAGTGGTAGAGACCCTTTGAGATGGCACTATGGGGGCAGCTCAGAGGCCTACACTAGAGGTTCCAAAATCCTCAACTCACAGTGATCACAATGTCTCAGTAATTTTTTTTCACAGTCTCAAGGCTAAATAAATACCTCATAGCTCTACTGATTAAGGAGGTAGGTCTAAGCCACAAGTGTGTATGTCCTAACAACTTGGTGGCCATTTGAAAAACTGAACATACATGGAAAGAAAAAAATATATTTTTGTTTCATTCTTAAGGAACCACAATGACTTGCATGTGATTGGGTGCCACACAGCTTCTGGAACCTTGGCTTCTGATTGGATAAGGCCATCCTCGTGTCTTGTTTCACACAGATTTTCACTGCATACTTTTTATCACAGCAGAAGCCAAAACCTCAACTTCGCAAAGACATGATTTCAGAGGGAATGAAGTGTGAGCTAATGTTACGCTAATGTCAAAACTCTGAACCCCCCAACCCAGCAGTTCGCATGGTGTCCAGCAGGGAGACAGCCTTGGTGTGTTTCCCCTGAAAGTATTAATAGAAGAAACCCTGCAGTGCCCTGTGAGTTTGCTGCAGTGGCCCAGAGTGCCTCAGCACACAGTTTGTGAACCACAGGCTTAGGGACACTTCCCTGCCCTCAGTGGCCAGGAGACTTGAGCGTGAGGAAGGTTGGGTCTTAAGAGACTCAGGAACTAAAAGATGCTTATGAGTTATGGTTCAGCTAGAAAAGTGTATAGTGTTACCCCCTGCAATTTCTAGCTCCTGCCAACTTTCCACCTTTTTTAGCAAGTTATGTTGGTCTTAGTTAAGGGAGTGATAGAAAAGCATTGAATTATGTGAGAGCTATCAAGTCTGTAGCCCTGAAATGCTGTAAGCCAATCCCTGAGTATGCTTTTCTGTGAAATAGATGAGTTTTTAGGGGTTTCCAAGACTTGGCAGTTCTGAGCATGGGCTTTAGGTTCAGGAGGGGCGAGCTGATAGACCTCTCTGTCCCTCAAGTTCCCCCTCATAAAATGGAAAGTCAGTTAAAGAAGATAATGCCGATGAAGCACTCGGTAAAGGTGACTCTCATAACTATCCAGTATGTAGCACCTTGAACCCAAAGGTAAAAGATGGAAATTTCCACTCCAGGGTGAACTTCTCCCCAGAGAGACATGTGCACTCCCCATGGGCAAGCTCTGGCTCTGGGGGCCCTGTCGCCCCCGATGCAGTTGTGTTGGGTGCCGGGTGTGCCAAGTATGAGGCTGCTTCTCTCTGTGCTTTCCCGAAGCTTCTAAGTGCAGCAGGCGCTACCCAAGGATTACATTGGGTTTGGGGTGTAAGTCTTATTTGATTTCTGCATAAGGGCTAAGAATAGAACGAGAATTATCTGCCAGATGAAAAAGCATCCGGAGGGAGGGCAGAAGGCCTTGGCAGAAGCACTGCCTGGTCCCTTCAGCCCAGCTTTTATCCCCGCAGACAGTTCAGCGGCAAGCACCCAGTCCACAGCAGAGATTGCCTGGGTGGAAAAGAAAGACGGAGGGGAATGAGAGGATCAACTGTCAACTGTAAAGCACACAAGCTCTGGCGTCTTGACATGCAGTGTCTTCTCTTGCTTGCTGGGAGAAGAGCGTTGAGCATGCAAACCTGGCTTACAGGTGACCCAGAGAGAGGAGTGCGGCCATTCCCTTCCCCTTAGCACCAGCCCTGTCCTAAGTTAAGGCTCGTGTCAGCTGAGTCTAATGGGAGCTGGAGGTGGAGGGATGTGGTGGGACGTCGGGGAGATGGAATTCTTAAGGACTCTAAATTCAGACATGGAGGAAGGGAAGAAGAAAGTCAGAATAGTTAGGTGTATTCATTGCAGATTCCAGAACAGGGCTGCCCTGTCTCCCAGATCTAAAAATTGCTGCTTAAACTATTTCATACCCATTAAATTGCTGCCCTGAATTCCACCAATATCTATTAATAAGTACCCACCCATTGTCCAAACTTTTGAGGTCAATAAATGCAATCAAAAGCTTTGGCATCTGGGCTGGGTGCATTGGCTCATGCCTATAATCCCAGCACTTTGGGAGGCCGAAGTGGGTGAATCACCTGAGGTCAGGAGTTCGAGACCAGCCTGGCAAACGCAGTGAAACTCCGTCTCTACTGAAAGAATACAAAAAATTAGTCCAGTATGGTAGTGGGTGCCTGTATTCCCAGCTACTGAGGAGGCTGAGGCAGGAGAATCACTTGAACCCAGAAGGCGGAGGTGGCAGTGAGCAGAGATTGTGCCATTGCACTCCAGCCTGGGTGACAAGAGTAAAACTCCCATCTAAAAAAAACAAAAACAAAAACCTTTAACATCTGATCAGAATCAGCTTTGTCTGTGTTTGCAGGCGGGATACTTATTAGAATCACCTGCAGTGCTGCCCCAGGCAACACGGTGAAAATATTTGCCAGTGAGGCCTAGGCTATTTTGTTTTAAAGCCCCGAGGTGTTTATTAAGTACAGTGAAGATGGAGATTCAATGAACTGTCCCCGAGGAACAGGGAGTTTGCTTTGGGCCAGGGACAAGGTTGAGGCAGGGAGTACATCATTTGGGATAGGCCCTGGGCAGCAAGGCGCGGCCCAGGGAGAGCAGCATAGGTGGGTGGGGAAAGGAAAATGCGAAAGACAAATCGCACCTGTTTGGAAATTACACAGAGGCTGGTCTGGCTCCTGAGAAATGGCAGAGGATATCCCCTTCCTTCACTCCTGTCTCCTTCCTTCACTTCTGCCTGTCTGCCTGGGGGATTCCGTCTTCTCAAGCCAGCCACCCTCCTGGTTAGATGGGCTTTGGGGAGCTAAGCATGGAAGGTAATCCCCAGTGCATTTGCAGACACTACCCATTGATACCTTCCCATTTGTGACATCGCTGGTGGTATCACGACGGAATCTTCTAGAAGGTCTGTAGTTTGAACAGTGCCCTCTACCAGAGACTTGACCTGTGTCCTCACACACTGGAAGAGAATCTTCAATAGTTTTTCAGTAAGAATTTCCTGGCAATTGATTTACAAGTAAACCTTGAGAACATGCCCTAGTGAGTGCTGTTTTCTGATGCCATGGGTATGGAGGGTTTCTCCATACTGATGGCCAATTCTTCCTCATCAGCGGGTTGTCCAGTGATTCCATTCAGTTCTGACACTAAGGTCCTAGGGTGAGTATAGACCCCCAGGTTGAAGGCTCAGTCCCACAAGGCTGCCTCCTCCACCTCAGAAACCAGTCCTAAGTCTCAGCAGCCACCCAAGGTTTTATCCAATCTGCTGTAAACTCGGAGGTTCCCACAACTCCCTTCTCAGGTTTGACAGTTCACTAGAATGATGCATAGAGCAAGCTATATGGCCGGGGGTGGGGTGGGGGGGAAGAGGGGAGTGTCCATGCCCTGTGGGTGCACCATCTTCCCTGCACTTTGGTATACTCACCAAACCTGAAGCCCTCTG